ATGTACATGTACAGTATGTTTATAGATATTCTCAAAACCTGCAGCCATCATTGGCCTAATAATAATGATCATAATAAAAATATTCTCCTCTAAGCTGGACTTCAGTTTAAGTCTGTTTATAACGGGTAAATGTTTGTCGTTTTTGTGAGTTTTGTTTTTTAAAGTAAAAAAAAAAAAGCTTTTAAAGACCTCAAACAATTGATAGTGTTTTTTCTGAAAAACCTTAAAGTATCTTGTCAGTAGTTTTATTATTTTTAAATCATCTAACCCCTGTTATGTTGGGCACCTAATAAATCAAATGAAAATAACTTTGTAAAGACGTAAGAATAGATCATATTTTTACTGAAAATCAAAATGTGAATATTGTACAAAGGAAAAGGAATAGTTAGGATTTATGACGTTATAGAAACAATCTCTATTTTAGGTTAATTTATATTCATATAAAGCATTGAAAGTATTTTATGGCAAGTCTAAATAAAAAAGTTTCAATGTTTTTGTCTAAATGTTATTTTTGATTCCACATGTGATGAACAGTATGAGTCTTGTAAAGCAGGGGAAGTATTTATAACACTTTATTTTAAAACATTAGGTTCATAGATCTGCTTATCTGATATCAGTACTTACATATTTTATTCCTCATGTCATGTTTTACAGTAAAAAACTGCCCAATAATCAAAACCATATGAAGTTTGAAATCAAATATTTATTTATATAAAAAAACGTGTTGAACCAATTTAATTATAGTTCACTCATTTAAAGTAATTAAATGTTATCGGTGACCCTGTGATTAATTATAATTTATTAAGCATGTTGTGTAATCCATGTGAAGTGATTATTTGCACGTTTATAGAATTTCAAGGCGTGCATTATAAAGATGCTGGGACTGAAGGACTGAATCTGCTGTTCTGGTCATTCTCTATTAATTATAATCATAATTAATGTACAGTCATGTCATCCTCTGAGGTTTTCAGAACATAATAAAAATGATTTGTTCTTTAAATTATTCATGTCTAACCTTGAGTATACAAAAGCACACAATTCAATTCACTTTATTTCTATAGCTCCAAGTCACAACAGAAGTTGTCTCAGGCACTGAACAGGAACACTCACAAACTGACACATTCCACCATGACGTTATTTATTAAATGCAAACCCGACATAAAAAAAGCTCCAAAATCTTTCTGCTTCCACATTTCAGAGGGAAAGTAGCAGCCGTGTGGATGAACTGTTCGTCATCAGTGATCTGGAGCACAGGTGTGTGTGATGGCATCAATCCAAGGCAGAAAGACATCAGCAATGAGCTTAAAAAAGCAACAGTTGCTGCCAGCAATCTGGATTAAAGGTCATTTCCAAACACGTTAGAGTCCATTATTCCAAGCTGGGGGGGCCGGGGATTATTCACGAGTGGAAAAACTTTTAAAACGGCTGCAAACTTTCCCAAGAAGACGTCCTGGCAAAAGGTCAGACCGTTCAAAGCTCATAGAAACTGCTAAATGAACTAACAAGCTCCATTTTAGACTCCAGAGGCCTCCGTTAGCTGTGGCCTAGCTTTAGCTGGTTAAAGGTCAAAGTTCATGATAGGACCTGGGACCCTTGCCTACTCCTCTGTTGTAACAACTTTTCCACTGTATAAGTCTCAGTTTTTTGGAATAAATGTGTCTGTCCTGAGACTTATAAACTTTTTCCGTATTCAGAACACAGTTTTTGACTGACATCTGACGCTTTCACTGTGACATGAACCAGATTAAACATTACCATTTGTAGCCACTAGGGGCGCAAGGGGGCCCTCTAGGCTTTGACAACTACCACTACTGCACCCCCCCCCCCCCACACACACACACACACACACTTTCACTTAAAAAGACAACTGAGAAAAACTTAACACAAGTAAAATGCCCCCAAACATTTGCAGATTACAAACTGCTGCTAATACAAATATGTAACCCACAACGGTAATGGAGCAGCAGAAAATATCCTGATGCATGCTCAATAATCCAGGTAGAAAAATCTAAAAAGGTTAAATCTGGTCCTCTGGACATTAAAAAAAAACCAAAACAAAGCAAATCAACAAAAAAATGTAGAAACGTTTCGTCTCTCATCCGAGAGACTTCCTCAGTCTGAGGTGCTGTATTCAGCTCAGTCTCTTAAATAGCACCTTCTCAGAGTGGATCAACCAGTTTGCTGCTGACAACCAAAACCAGCTGCTCACATGCTCAAGAAGGACCATCAGCCTAACAATGGATCATTAGCACCTGATGGCTGTTTACTGTTCACAGAGGGCTGAGTGATACTAGCAATCACAGCATTGTAAGAGGGGGACAGTTGAACCTGGAGGCCTCCACCCCTGTTTAATGATGGACGATTTCTTTTCACAAAGATGGCCTCCTTTACTCCTCTCTCAAACCATTGTTCCTCTCTGTCCAGGATGTGAACATCTTCATCCCTGAAAGAGTGACCGCTGGCCTGGAGATGAGTGTAGACCGCAGAGTCCTGGCCTGATGATGTTGATCTTCTGTGCTGGGCCATCCTTTTGGCCAGTG